GGCACCACCATCACCCAGGACCTCAAGTGGGAGCCGACCATCAGCTCCCTCATCAAGAAGGCCCAGCAGAGGATGTACTTCCTGCGGCAGCTCAGGAAAGCCAAGCTGCCTGCACAGATGTTGGTGCAGTTCTACACGGCCATCATCGAGTCCATCCTCACCTCCTCCATCACCGTGTGGTTCGCTGGAGCCACAGTCAGGGACAAACAGAGACTACAGCGCATTGTGCGCTCTGCAGAGGAAGTGATCGGCCGCAGCCTTCCATCGCTGCAGGACCTGTACGTCGCCCGAGCTCGAGGCCGGGCTGGTCGTATCACAGCCGACCCCTCTCACCCTGCACATGGACTATTCCATCCACTCCCCTCAGGCAGGAGACTGCGGTCCATCAGGACTAGAACCTCCCGCCACAAGAACAGTTTCTTCCCCTCTGCTGTTGGACTCTTGAACACTTCTTACCCTGTCCCCCCGCCCTTTATAAAGTCACTTTACTGCCCATCATACGTCACTTTACTTCACTGTACTGCTGTCACCTTACATTGTGTGCACCATGTGCACTTGTATATTGTAAATAGTAACTGTAACTCTATTTTAAATTTTAATTTATTCTTTAGAAGTGTTTTTTATTCTTATTTTTATTATCTCTTTTTAACTGTTGCACTGAGCCAAAGCAATTTCCTAGTCTGTGACCTCCTGTTACTTACGTGGCAATAAAAATGATTCTGATTCTGATTCTAATTGGGTTTCGTTGAGCATCCAGTCCACGATTTATGTTTACATCATGATGTAAAATACATTGAGTATAGTCAACACAGAATACATCATCTACAGATATAGTGGAAAGCAAATGGAGAAATATATATGTTTGTAAATAAATACAAGTACATTTTATTCTTACTTTTAATGAACAATATGTGAAAGTATGTTCTGTGCTTATCTTTTAGCATACTGCACTGTCCTGATGTTTTGTCTCCTCAGCTAAACATGAGGCTATTAGGAGCCTTGTTTAGAGGAGCATGAATATGAAAGTATCTTATAGCTACAAGTGCAGTAATTTGTGCAGAAGTCAATAATCCCAGTCACTTGGAGTTGCAGAGGAGCCAAGCCCTTTGCAGCAAAAGTGTGTGTGTACGTGTGTGTGTGTGTGTGGGTATGTGTGTGTGTGTGTGTCGACTGAATTTACCTGCGGATAATTAGTCTTGTCTGGCTGTCTGACATATTGTGCTCGGGGTCATGTATATTTCATGAGTAGAGGCTTCCTGTAAAGGTCATTGTGGAATTTTTAAATGAAGAGACACCTGCTTTATTCATCACTTTTAATTGTATGAATTATCAACTCATTTTCACCAAGTTTGAACAAAGTCGTAATGAAATACACTATTATCAATAGATTATGATTGTAGTAAGTGAGACATCTCAAGGGTTTGGTATCAGGATGTGTTTTTTAACCATGGATCCGACTCATTTCACTCACATTTCAGTTCATTCAACACACTATTTAGAGACACACCACAGCTCAAGTAAAAAGGGCAAACATTCCTTCCAGAGCAGAGCCACAAGACAGGAATAAAGACGCACGAAGAGCATCAGGAGCATCAGGTGTAGCAGGCAGTACGATCCAGGTCACACTGCCTCATGACGGTTGTTTTCTGGTTAAAATGTATTTATTTGATGGAAATTTGATTTTTGAGTTTTGGCGCTGCCTCTTCCTGTTTGTTTAACTTCATGTAAATGTTATGCTGATGCTTGAATTTGTGCTGAGCAGAGAGAAGGTCTTCAGTGTGGTCCAGAGAAGTGTGCTCCTGCTCATTAGAGCTGTATTTTACACATAGAGGAGAGTCCAGGGAGTACTTCTGTTTGATCTGCTTTGCATAAACCAATCCGATGTAACCCGACTGGAGAAAAAAATCAATTAAATTCTGTGTAATTAGACTGACAGTGCACTCCAAAGTTGAACAGCAATCAATACAAAAAATGAAAAATGAAGCTAAAGGCCATCTCATTCCATTGATTTGCAGTGCGAGGAGGAGGAATCAGATAGTGTTGCCACATAGGAATATGAGCTATTGAGCTTCATAATGTTGTTATTGTCTCGGTATTGAAATGGATATGCTGAAAGTGAGCACGGGCTGACAGCGCCAATTAGAGAGCACTGAACTGTAAACAGATCTGGGTCATAATGTTTTAGCAAATACTTTGTTTATGGATCTTAAAAGCCCAGTTGGAAGAGACACAGGGTGAAATTCACTATTCAAAAACAGCTTTACTTCTTCTCTTACCAAGTGCACTGAGGCTGTTTGATTTACTATGTTCAAGGTCATATTGGATATAGTCTCTAGGGGGCGACAGTAGCTCAGTTGGTAGAGCATTGGCCTTAAGCCCAGAAGGTCGTGGGTTCAATTCCCACCTCTGCACCTTCTCCACCGACTCCCACTGATGACTGCTGTCGTTGTGTCCTTGGGCAAGACACTTAACCCCACTTTGCCCAAAGCCCCCACTGAAAGATCAAGGCTATGCTCACAGTCAGAGAGCAGCCGTCCTCCTGTGGACTCACCACCTGCAGAGGGTCAGTGAGGGGCTGGTGCTATGAGACTTGGGTGGCATCTCTGACTGCCACCCCCCTGACCCAGAAATGGATTAAAGGGTAGAAAATGGATGGATGGATGGATGGATGTTCTTGAGTGGATATTTGATTTAAACATAAGCCTGATGCAGGTAGTGTCTGTGTCCTCACCACAGCCATCATAGGCCTCTCACTGCCCTCTCCTGTCTCTGCTCTTATCAGGACCGGGGCAGACACTCTGATCCAAGTTGCTAAGCACTAGCCGTATGTTTGTTTGCTCTTATCCTCATCACCTCATGGCGTTGAATGTGGCACTGTGCGCCCCGAGCCCCTCTGCGGAGTCTGCATGCAGCCAACAGATAAAACAAAAAAAACTGCCATGAAGATTTTACTCTTGAGGGAAACGTCATCACAAGGAATCTGTGTAACCTTCCCCTAAGAGAGAAGGAGAGGGAACTGGAGAGCAGAGGAGGAAAGGGAAACTTGTCTCTGATGCAGGTGTCTCAAGGTTAATTGTGTGCTGGGTCAAAATGACTGATCTGCTGCTAAAACTAGTAGCTTTCTGTTTTAGTTGGTCTGGCTGCAGGTTGAGCTGTTAAACTGGTACACACCTGGTTTGGGTAACAAAGAGAGTCTTTGGGGTTTTGCGTCGCATCTGGCGCCTCTGGGCCAATAACTTTTTTACCCCTTGCAGAATTGCTATTTTTATTGATTACACCTGAGAGCATCCACAATCTGGATGTACTCCTTTTTTCAACACAATTTATAAATTACTTCACAATTACACACATATATACTGTATACATCATCCACACTATCAATAATAGTTTTTGGACACCAAAACCCTACATATTGCATCAGTCAACTTACGCCATACATAAGTGTACAGTATCACAAAATTTGCCCTGGGGGAGATTAATCAAAGTGATGCAGTCGATCTGTGCCACCACTCATCATTCACACTCAGATGGTAGGAGGCAGTTTATTTATATTTCAGGCACATCACAAACTACCACTAATAATTCAATTCAACTTTATTCCGGACTCATAGTCCAATACAATTAAATAAAAATAAAGGACAAGACAAACAATTAAAATGGCATTTTAAAAAGACAATCATGCCAATGTCTCCACAAGTCAGATTGATACCGTGTCGCACTCCATTTTATATTCGTGAGGGACACTATTATTTCATTTTCAGTTGTGTTCAATCGACACATAAAGCTGTACATCAAAGTTCGTAGCACGGCCTGTAAAGTGTTCACTCTGGCATTAACAAACATTTCTGTGGCACTTGACCATCTCGGCTTTTTCAAAAGCACACGCAAAGCATCATTATAGGCCACCTGGAGCTTACGCATGCTGGCTTTCTTATAATGAGACCAGAGATGAGCTGTGTATAAGGGAGTACAGTACGCTTTAAATAACGTTAGCTTCACTCTCTCTGTACAACAGCCAAACTTCCGTGCCAGGGTATTAGCCTGGGCATACAACACTCTGCATTGTCTGTAAATGTCATCATCCTCATCATCACATGTCCTCAGTGATGATGTGCCCGAGGTCCTTGATTTTGGTGACAACATGCAAAACATCATTACACAAACAAAAGTTAGGAAATGTCAGGTTCTTATCTTCCTTGGTTTTAGAAATCATGACCACACTCTTCGAACTATTGTACTTAATATCATGTATCGCTTATGTATTGAATTTGGCTTGCGTGATCTTGCCGTGTGGCTACGCACCACACACTGCACGACCAAAGTGGTTAGACGCAGGATTTTTTATCTCCCCGTGTGGGGTCTAACACGGAGAAAAATCGGCCGACAATTTTAAAATCGTCTCGTGTGAACCAGGCTTAATGCACATTCCCCAACTTACTGTAGCTCCAGTCATTCACGCACACACCAGACTAGACAATGTGCCTCGCTTAAAGATACATTTACAGTTTCCCCTCCAACTGAGAGAGATTTTTGAGTTGGACATCCATCCATTTTCTACCCCTTAATCCATTTCTGGGTCAGGGGGGTGGCAATCAGAGATGCCACCCAAGTCTCATAGCACCAGCCCCTCACTGACCCTCTGCAGGTGGTGAGTCCACAGGAGGACGGCTGCTCTCTGAGTGTGAGCATAGCCTTGATCTTTCAGTGGGGGCTTTGGGCAAAGTGGGGTTAAGTGTCTTGCCCAAGGACACAACGACAGCAGTGATCAGTGGGAGTCGGTGGAGAAGGTGCAGAGGTGGGAATTGAACCCACGACCTTCTGGCCTTAAGGCCAATGCTCTACCAACTGAGCTACTGTCGCCCCGAGTTGGACATATAGCTGATTTCAGTGTTGCCTTAAAAGACATGAAACATATTTCTGAGTTAGCCTATAAGCTTTGTCTTGAACTTTTCCGTCACAATGAAGGTCAGGACAAAAATATATTATAAGAAGCCAAAGAGTCAAAACCCAGCTTGGCTTTTTCCACATATTGAGGGGGAGATGAGAGACAGCCCATTGCCCGTCGGAGGCAGAGGAGGCGGCAATGGCACTGAGTAAATAGTCAGCGGCTCTAATAGGAATATCAAGCCAGTGAAAGGTAAACAGGCTTCTCCAGGCAGATACAAAGGGAATGTGGCGGCTTTGAGAGCGCTGGAGTACCGGCACGCCACTGTGGCACAGCGATAAGAGCCCCAGGCCTGCCTGCATCCACGAGATAAGGCCGAGCACTGGCATGTGTCGCCCCTGATCCCAATTTCACAGTCAATATTCATCCAACCCGACAAACAAGCAACATTTAAGATAAAAAATAAATATAGAGTCCTTCTGCTATTACCTCCTGTTTATTAATCTCCACTGCACCCACTGGCTTTTAAACAGTCGTAAACACCCAAGCCACAACCCCTCCCTGTCTCTGTCTCCATCACTTCTCCTCCTCCTCCTCCTCTCTTCCGCTCTTTCTTTCGTCATCTTCTTCCTGCACATCTGGGGATTTGCATGGCTTGGTGGATTCTCCAGCTTTTGCCTCAGGGGTGTAGGTCTCTTTGTGTCTGGCTCTTTTTAGTGGATGGGTCGTTGTGCGAGAGGGATGAGAGGAGCGCACCTGTGTATGCATATGTTCATGATATGCTGTTCAGGTTTCAGGTGTAGGTTGGGCTGGGAACCTAAATTGGGGGTGAACAATAATATAATATACAACAAATCCTTTGACTCAACACAAAGTCAAAGAAGCTGGCAGCAGGTTAAAAATGGTTTACTCATAATCTCTCATTATTTGGTGGTACTATGAATATACAGGTGAAACTCTGAAAGTTAGAGTATTATTCAAAAGTCTATTTACTTCTGTAATTGAACTTAAAATGTGAAACTGATATACTGTATGACAGATTCATTACACGCAAATGATGAGACACCAAGTATTTATTTGGTATGATGTTGATAATTTACTCACAGCTTGTCTATCCATAAATTTTTTTTTACTTTATCCATTGCTGGGTTGCGGGGCCAGCAGTCTCCTCCTGGTGGGACATAAAGTCTGTGGATGGGACATGCCAGGAACACCTCCCCGGAGAGGCATCTGTGCAGGGACATCTTGTAAAAAAAAAACAAATAAAAGATCTCCAATATTTTGAAAAATAATAACATACAAAGGCTTGACATACTCTATGTCATTTTGCAATAAGATAAAATGTACCTGTACATCACATATTGGTTTTACAATTTAAGTTCCGTCCGTCCGTCCGTTTTCTTCCGCTTCATCCGTTGCCGGGTCGCGGGGGCAGCAGTCTAAGGAAAGACGCCCAGCATAGTCCCTCCAGCGTGTCCTGGGTCTTCCCCGGGGCCTCCTCCCGGTGGGACGTACCCGGAACACCTCCCCAGGGAGGCGTCCAGGAGGCATCCTGAACAGATGCCCGAGCCACCTCAGCTGGTTCCTCTTGACGTGGAGTAGCAGCGGCTCTACTCCGAGCTCCTCCCGTGTGACCGAGCTCCTCACCCTATCTCTAAGGGAGCGCCCAGCCACTCTGCGGAGGAAGCTCATTTTGACCGCTTGTATCCGCGATCTCGTTCTTTCGGTCACTACCCAAAGCTCATGACCATAGGTGAGGGAGGGAACGAAGATTGACCGGTAAATCGAGAGCTTTGCCTTTCGGCTCAGCTCCCTCTTCACCACAACGGTCCGATACAGCGACCGCATCACTGCGCACGCTGCACCGATCCGCCTGTCAATCTCACGCTCCATCCTTCCCTCACTCGTGAACAAGACCCCGAGATACTTGAACTCCTCCACTTGAGGAAGGGCCTCTCCACCCACCTGGAGAGGGCAAGGCACCTTTTTCCGGTCGAGCACCATGGCCTCAGATTTGGAGGTGCTGATTCTCATCCCAGCCGCTTCACACTCGGCTGCAATTTAAGTTAAATACAGAAATACATTTTCGGTATTTCATCTATAAGAAAATCAAGGAAAATGTAGGTTCCAGCAAGTAAACAACACAGTTTACTTTCCAATGATGCGGTTCCTATTATTATTAAGGAATCACTTCAGATCTAATACATGTGAATAACCAGTAAGTACCAAACCAGATGCATGGCATGGATTTAATCTCTGACCATACAGATAATGAAACGTATTTAATATATCTATCCATTATATTCTAAAACCATGAGAGATTATCTTAATGTATTCTATTATTGTTGGAAAGGTGCCCAATAAATTTAAGATTAGTGGATTAAACGGCTTGCTAAGATTGATATTATTTTGAAATGTGGGCCTAGCAGCAGTGAATGTGCCAGCTGGGCTCTGATTACCATCTGCAACAATCACACAGAGGAGTAAACCAGAGCTGTGCCCAACGTCTGCGCCCAAACCGGTGACTCCTTCTCATTTTGGAAGAAACAACATCCCACAACTGTAACGTTAAATAGTATTTGTAAACTTACTTTTTATAGTAAGAATAACAATGTTGGGGTAAAAGTACTGTACCTGGAGGCTACACCTTTATAGCTTGTGATCTTGCAAAATAGTGCCAACAAGACAAGTGGCAATCATGGCTCTAACAATCATTTGCTGCAGAAATGTGAGGATAGTTGTTATAGTGCAGTTGGTGTAATGCTCTTGAACTTGCTCTCTTCACTTGTGGACATGACCTTAAGTGACCCAATGGTCCAGTGGTAGCTCTCACTTACACTCGGATGGATCTATTCTCTGCTGCAGCAGACTGTCATTCTCTGTGCTCCTGGACACGACTGTCCATCATCCTGACCACTGCACCTGACCTGCTCCTCCCTCCATCGCTGTGGCCTTCTCCTGCCCTTCTACCTCCTTCGCAGACCTGTCCATGCCCGGCCAGCTGGCCATATCCCTTTAAATCTGGCTCGAGCTGAGCCGCTGTCTCCAGGAGATTACTGCACACTCTCCTAGGCTCCACAGATGGGACAGACAGGCTGCCAGCTGGCATAGGGACACCCACTATCCCTCTGGAAAGTAGCCAACAGGCCTGGCTCACAGTGCCTCGCTCTGCCCATTCACACAATCTAGCTATTCCCAAACTTAAATATTTTAACCATTTGAGTTGGAAACATAGGCTATATCCACACGAAGACAAAACGCTTATAATTTCAGAAACTTTTTCTGTAAACACGGAGTTAGCTCAGTAAATGTGTGCGTCCATATGAATGTAGTCAATACGCCTGAAAACGCTGTGAAACTATGCCAGACCTGTTGGTGGCGCTGTGACGCAATGACGGGATCAAGCCCAAACTTCCGTGGGCATGCGCGGAATTTTGTAAACAGACAACATGGCGAGTGGGCGAGCTGGTACTACATTAGTATGGACGGACGATGAGGTTGAACTGTTGCTTCGGGTCACACTGGATTACAAAACCAACAAGCTACATTGTTGTTGTCATTCTTTTCTGAGTGCGGCGCATGCATGCTTTAACAAGAGGCGGGGCGATGACGCAAGCGTCTCAGATACATTGCGGAGAGGCAGTAACCACGGAGCGGCATATACGGAGTTTTGAAATCTTTCCACTCTGGGACCTAGTTTCAAAAATGTTCGTTTACACCCCCCCAAAACGGCGGCCTCGTATGGACGATACACTGGATTGATACAGTATTTTTGCGTTTAGGCCTGAGCTTGACTTCGTGTGGACAGGGCCATAATGAACTTTCCCAAACTCTGCATGAATCAATCAAAGTGTATTTATTTAAACATCAAGTCCACAGCAGTATATTTCTTGATCAACAAAGAAAACCTCAAAAAATATGTATTTAAAAAGCAGCATGTCTGCTTTAAAGTAATAGGGAATGAGAATAAGTGAGTGTTTTGTCTTAGTGTCAAAATATAGGCAAGGCAAGTAAAGTGAATTGTTTTTGGAACAATAACAAAAACAGCTCTTCTACAACGTATTAGTTATAGTTTTAAAAAGTTATCTGTGAGTGTCTTAATATTACGTCTTGTTTTGTGGGTTTTTTTTTTCAAATAAACGATTAAACAAAATTCAAATGTGTTGATGAGACTTGCAGAGTGAAGCTTGATTAAACTGTGCAGGATGTGTGCAAAGATCGGGAGCATTTTCCTCTGATCACTTGAACTGGGTGCAGCTGTGTTGACAGCTTTGCTGCACTTGACACATTCTCATGGTCTGCATGTGGAAAGAGCCAAGTGTGGCATAAGGCCAGCTTTCTCACGGATTACACAATACTCTGTGTGTGGCAAGCAAACACCAGAAACAGCAACATCAACAACCATGATGCAGCAGTGTTTTAACACATCGTTTCTGGCCAAAGGAACTGTTTGTTTTGACCATTCAAGTTGTTTCACAGACGAGAACATTTAAATCCGCTGAACATAATAAACTACATTTTAACAATGATTTGGTGGTGTCCTTAGTTCAGAGTAATATGCAAACCCTCAACACTTCATCCGGAGGTTCAATGTCATACAACAGTTTGATTGGCTAGACACCAGGGATGACGTCGCTCTCTATTCTTTCCTGTAATGTTTGCTTCAAGGCAAAAATCCTTGTTGCACACAACCTTTGACAATAACTTTGGGCATATATTGTCAACACAACATTTGGTTGCTTTGTCAGGCAATAGTAGTGCACATGAAAACCTCCCATTCATGCATGTGTTGGCAAATGCAGGGAGCCAACGCAATCCAAGAAAGTTGAAAAATTGACACGATTTGGCAGTGCACTCTTGACCCTCTCCATGTCTATCACAGAGAACATTAATCCATCATAGTTACATTGTGCTTAACACATACAGTATGTATTAGTATTTGATTAGTTAATGTTAGCTTTTGTTCAAGATTATTGTTATTTTCAATAGCTACATTTTTAACCAAGAGCAAATCATGCACATTTTGCTCAATTCAAGCAACATAATACAGTTGTTTAGTTTTATTTTGCGCAATACTAATATGATGTCTTTTAGAGAAAATATCATTCATGAATACACCTCGCACAGGGGAGACTGACAGAGATGAGACTGGTTATACTCGGCCCCTCAGACCACCACCACTCAATTCTCACCATATTCAGACAATGAGGATGAAGTGGTTTGTCTAAGAGCTTAGTTTTTCAAGCCATACCTGGTTTTCTCATGCAGACTTGCCTTTAAATGTTGACTGTACACAGAACAGAGAAATTGGTCAGACTCCTGTCTGGACCCTAACATGATTACAGTGAGAGATCTGCTGCACCAGATTACTGTGACCCATGAGGACCCATCCAGATGTACACACATGCAGAAACACATATTGGCGTGCTCAAAACACCTGCAACTGTGCCGCAACTTTAGATGCACTAGTTTACCTCTCCAGACTGCAGACTTTACTTCACAAGAAAATACAGGGCAGATTGAGATTTTGTATTTTTGTATTTATTTATTGATTTCAGGCAAACTCAGGAGCATCACAGTTGCTATTATAATAAAAAACATACTCATAACAAAAAAATCAAAAACAATTTTGCCTGAAAGGGAGTGGGAAGACGAGAACTCCACCCCTTTATCTATTAGTTTTAATAGAGAAACGCATTAGTTTCTCTGCTACTGCAAACTTAAAAATGTATGACAAAAAAACCCAGAGAGCAAGAATTGATGATGATAATAGTAATAATAATAATAATAATAATAATAATACATGAATCTTAATATATACAAACAATCTAAGGAAAAACCATGGCGTGGTGCCGTAAGTACATAACAGATAAGAACATTGCAATCTCAATAAAACAACAGATGATCAAACAAACTGAACTGAAGAGTGGTTTGTTGAAGGCCCAACTCTAACCAAGAGCAATGAAAGGGCCATTGTCTCCAGCTCTTTTAGTAATGTGTATATAATGTACAATCACAAAGCATCTTTGTGATGGAATTGTTTTTGCTACTGGTCATAAAACATAAGGAGATTAGTGTCAGTGAAGCAGCCAAGTGCATATTAAATAGCAAGGAGAAGAATGGAGAGGCTAACATAACTGTCCTGACAGAGCATCACTTTGGATCAGACCAGACGCCTGTCACAATCTTCATGTCCAGCTGCACGTCTCTCTCACCAGACTGTGGACGTCATGTGATATCAGTGAAACAGAGAACTTCTCCTGGAGGCTGTGTCCTCTCCGTGTGACGCTGCCCCGGTATACACCCCCCTCTCCCCCCCACCAGCGCCCCCCTCTGCTGCCATGTTTGCAGAAGCGAGGGCTTTGGAGGGTGGCACTCTGATGGCGTGAAGCCAGATGGCAGCCACAAGGCAGGCGACGTGGCGCAGAGCAACACACAGCCGTACACACAATCAGTCAGTCACACTTTCTGTCCTTAATGAACGCCATGAATTATTCATCACACACGCCACGCGCCTCTCGCAGGACGCACACACTCCAGTCAGCAACAGAAGGCTCCACCACTTCTCTCTATTTTATTATCATTTCTCTAGGCATTTTCCTGGTTTTAAAGCTATACCAGGTGGTGCTCGACCCCTCAAACTATCAACTCCTCCTCCTTCTTCCCTCCTACTTCCACCTCCGTGCACCCATCCCAGATCAGCCCCGCTCCTTCCTGCTGGCTGTCATCCACTCAGTATTTTCCACTTTCAATAGCACCGCATGGCTCTGGCACACCTCAGCTCATCATGATAGGTGCTTTACAGGGCTATACACAGTGAAGAGCAGACAAGGGCCACAGGTTGACACTTCTGTAGGAGGTAGAGAATCCTCATGGGGAAAACCTGCTATGTGCTCCATAGTCTCTGCAACTCCATCTGAGATAAAGTCAAAACATGGAAGACTGAACTCACTGAGACACTAATGATCCTGTCTTAAGAGGGCAGGAAAAATGTTCCCCCTGAGCTATATTGTAATATTTCAGTAGGCCTACTTTTCCTGGTATATCTCAGTTATTGTGAAGGACAATAATAAACACAGAATGACAACCAACAGTAACATATACTGTAACATAAATATAGATTTCATTTTTGGTGTTTTTAGTTTAAGTTGAAGGTATGTGTTTTGTTTGCTTTTGATCTGCTGTGAGAAAGCAGGCAGCGGGGGTGTGCGTTTGATTTCTGTCACTTTTGAAAATAAACTATGATATAGTTTTCCTTGTGTCATTTTGATGTGAGAAAAAAAAAAGATAATCATAGATTAATTTATGTGAATAAATTGAACTTACTGGTGGGACATCAAGGGACCTTAAAAACTGAAAAATCTCAACATCAGAAAAATTCTCACAAATGTATTTCTTTTTATGTTTGTCCAGTTTGCGTTCTGTTGAATGTGTACACTGGTTAAGATAAATGTATATATGATACATTTATTTTGAAAATGCTTAAATCATGTTCAAATTGTAGAAATACAATCAAATTACTGTAGATATCAAAATCCATGTTTATATTCAATATCAGAATGATGCAGGTTTTTGTGCTTCTCTGACTGATGTGTTTAGCTACCTCCACCTGTTTTCAATAAGAAACCATTAAATATTGTTGCAGAAAGATTAGACATATCAGAAATCTAAATGTTGTATTTCTGCTTTGTGCTCCACTGAGGCTCCGACGTTTAGAATAAACACATTATCAAAGCCTTTTTTTCTGTTGCCAACACAATGAAGGTGGGTGTGAGGCTCTTGTGACAGATATGACTGATGGATGAAGGAAAACCTGCCCTGGCTGTCAGCGAGGTTCAAGGTATAAAGAGGTGATGAGGAGGTCCTCAGATGTGAGGCTCTGGAGGAGAGTGTGATAGAGCCGCACTGAGCGTCTGAATGTAACGTTGGAGCGGTGGGAGAAAGGTCATCAGTGTCCCATGAGGCGCAGTGGTATTTCAACCATTCTACTGTTACAATGTCTTTTCTCTGCCATTCATCGTGCATGAAATCTATAAGGAGAGCATTTATTTAGCAGTTGACAAAGGAGGCGCAATATTTATTAATATATGAATAAATGGTTTCATGAAA